AAATACCTGCTTGAGAAAATTAACTAGCTTTTTCACTTCAAACTTCTCTTGAATCAGCTCTCCCTCCTTTTGAGTCAGCTTTACTGCCAAAGCTTCAACCTGCACAAAGTCACAAATACTTCAAAAATCATTAAAATAAATAAGTAGGGAAAAAGAAAAATCAAAATTAAGCAGGAAGAAGTAAGTTTTTATTACCATTGAAATAGCTCTCTCAACGTCTTCTCTGTTTCGACCAGCCAACCTTAATTTCAGATATTCCAGTGCGTCCCTAAGCTTCTTCAGAAGCACGTGTCCATCTAAAGATGCTACCTCTTTAAGTTTGGCCTGCAAATTCATCACAAGAAATAACTGATTAAAAAAAAATAAAAAAAATATGATACGAAAGGCCTCATATACAGTTTAGGGACAATTTACAAAAGCTACCCCCTCACATTTAAGCCAGAGAAAGGAAAAAACTATCTTGTGAGATTTCATATTGCCCCTTTAAGTTTTACAAGAAGCTTTATCAATGTCTGTATTTACTATTTAGCTAAACAAAAGCACCCTGCTTGAGGGCTTAAGGGTGTGATCGGATATAAATTCAATAAAAAAAAAAAAAATCAATCAAAACTCAAATTTAACTTAATTTTAAGTTTAACTCAACCCCACTATCATCAATATTATCAATATAATTAAATAATATCAACAAATCATTCTTACATGCCACATCAACTTTAATTCACTATTCATCCAATCACATAATTTAATCACATAATTTAATTTTAACTAACCATCACTTCCAATTATTTTTCTACTATCACATAATTATTTTATTTTAAATATAATTTTAATTTAAAACTTAAATGCTCGCTAACAACTATACCACCTTTTCTTTCAAAATTAACTATGGTTGATAAAAACCCAATTATAAACCAGTCAAATCCACGTCCAGTCACGCCCTAAATTGTATGAAAACCGAATAAATGTTGTTATATGTAATTTCGAAACATAACTGGATTCATTAGTAATTAAGCTAAAACACAAAGGGTAGCTTTTGCAGCTAACACAATGGCTAACAAGAAGCTCACTCTCTACATATAAACCAAAAATGTAAACAACACACGCAATACAAATGGATTATTAGCATTAAGAAGAACCTCTTCGGACAATTTTGCTGCTGCAGCCAAATTCTTGTCGAATTTACTGGCAAGGTCCCGAACAGAAAGGCGCCTATGTTGTTCGGTCAACTGGTTCGTTTCTTGAACAACAACTTCTTTCAAGGGTGGACCTTTAAAGTCCTCTTTAATCTCCTCTAAAATCTCATTATCGGGTCCTAACTTGTACTTAGGAAACTTCTCTGTCTGAAAGCTCACATCAGCAGACACCGGCCAAACTTCTCCGAATTCCGGACTGACCCTCGTCATCGGACCAAATTTATTTTCTGTTAAGATTTAAAGGTGTAATTATAAGACCTAACATATGTTTGTTATATACAAAGGAAACAAAAGAGGCTGCAATGACTCACAATGTAATCGATTGGGAAAAAAGGGAGATGGATCTCAGCTACAGAATAAGAATTTTAGAAAGAGAAGAGGATAAAAATCAATACAAAAACCCAATTATTTAACAAAAATCATGTGTCAATCTCATTAGCACTGCAGAATTTCATAAAAGCATTCGATTGCTACTAAAATGCAGAGCATAAAACGATTCCTTTTCTTTATTCATTGCGTTTCAACAGCACCAATTCCAGTTAATGCGTACACGGCTCAATTTCACAGAGCAGGTTTTGAATTAAATAAATTTAAATCAGAATAATTAGTTAGCTGAGGAAAAATGGTGAAATCAAGAACTGAACAATTGATGTTCTCATAATGAAATTTCAACTCTGGGTTATTCTTGCAGGTGCACTTTTTACCTGTGTACTATCAAAAACAAAAATAAATACACAAAAATATATTCACTAAATATAAAGCAAAAATAGAGGGTGTTTGAGATATACAGTAGAAGATCTCGTGGTTTATTGAGATACACATATATTCATCAACCCCGGAGATCAACCAAGGCGACGACCCGCCGGAACGCCGCGACTGAGCTGGACCGGAGCTGCAAACCAAAAGGGCTTGACAATGACAATGTCAACTATCAAACTATCATATCATTTTCCCAGAATATAACATAAATCATTTTTCTTTTGTTCTACAGAATCAAATGTGCAAAAGGGTCT